ACCTTGCGATGAAAATTTACATTTCTTCATCTTCATCATGGATATCAGCGACGATTAAAGCGATAAGGCAGCGAGAACATTGAGCTAGGGCTTGGATTAAAGGAGGACTGTCACTGGACTGCTCTTGGAAGTGTAAGAGAGTTGAGTAACCGAACGATTTGTTTGCTTTGGAATTTGATGATAGCAAAGTTTTGATTCCTTCCGTCTGATCGGTGACATTCGACATTATCGAAACTATTTTCGATTGTGAAATCGAAGGAGATGAAAAACCCTAAACGTTAGCAATTTGGGGCTTTTGCGTTCGCTGTACTTTTCGCGCCAATCAGTTCGCGCGGCCAAATAAGGGACTGTTTGACTAGGATGTGAATTTGAATTCCAAGTACACTGTTCTTTAAATAAAAACAATCTTAATAAAATTAGTTCCAATTACAGCATTCTTGAATTTTAAAAAGTTTTGAAATTGTATTATGTTAAGCAATGCAATTGACCTTGCTGTTATAATCCAATAGTATGAGACAATTTGATGCAACAGAGTATGTTCCATATCACAGTATTTGTTCTAAAAACTTATTCTTCTCAATTTCTCTTAACAGAAAATAGAACATTGTCAAAGGAAAACAACCAACAATAATTAATTAATAATTTCTAATGTAAGTCAAAAATAAAAATAAATTGAAGCAACATAAACAACAAAAGGAAAAATCTATAAGGACTACAACTATTTTAGTGTGGTAGCACTTCAATCAGACTCATCCATCTTTTACAATGGAATACCAAAACACGAGACTCAAGTTATATGCAAATGGTTTCAATCCCGGTTGTAAAATTTATTCTGTTTGGTTAGTAAATGTGTATGAAGCAACTATTTATTTTTTCTTAATATAGTCATTTTGTGAAAGATTACTTTGAATCAAAACATAGATATTTTCTTGAGTAATTTGATAGATGAGTTAAACATTTTGTGAAATGATGGTGACTTATAATACTTACAAACAAAAAAAATTCTAACAAGGTGATGTTACGAAAGATTAACAAATTTTCTGCATATGGTATGTTATCTAAATAGAGCAGTTATAGACGATTATTATGTTAAAATTAGCGACTAAAAAGGTTCCAAATTGAAATTCAAGCAAAAAAAGAAAATAAACAAATGCAACAATCAAGCAATAACTTTAAATTACAAATTGAATTTATTAATCACAAAGAAGAAATAAATAACGTTGAAACCTTGGTATAAAAATAAAATCAAAGACAAAATCATGGCACCTTGAAACATTGGGTATTATAGGTACCAAATTAGAGGTGGAAGGGAAAGGGGGCTAGAAGGGCCTCCACCCTCCAAAATTTTAAAACAAAGTTTTATTTTTTAAAAATTTTATAATTTTATTTCTCTAAAAATTTTAAAATTTTTATAATATACTTTTACTTTTTTTAGAATTTTATAATTTTACTTCTAAAAAATTTTAAAATTTTTATAACATACTTTTATTTTTTTAGAATTTTATAATTTTTTCTTTACAAAAATTTTAAAATTTTGATACCATATTTTTATATTTTTAGAATTTTATAATTTTACCTCTACAATAATTTTATCACATGCCATATTTGAACATCATTGTCGAGTTAACTTGTTTCTAACTGCTATTGTCTCACTCTTATTTCAGATTTAACAAGATTGAAGTGGAGTTGTTCACTCTTGACACATCTTTAAACCTTTAGAATGATTTCGAATCGTTTGATGTTGAAAGGATTTGTAACCTTGCAAATAAATATTACCTTGATAACTTTATAAAGTATAATAAAATGCATTTAAACTATTAATTGGATTTATTCAAGCTTAACATTCTTTATACTCTTTTGAAAAATATATCTACACTTTCTAAACTGTGTCAAGTATTGAAGAAGATGAAAATATCAAAAGTTTACTTCCTTATTGACAAATTGATTTAGCTTATCTTAACTTTATTAATTTCCACTGCAACATCAAGGCATACATTTTTTGCTATAAAACTCGTTAAAAACAAGACTTGTAATATAATGTCAGATGATTTTCTAAGTAATTTATTGATCATTCTCATTGGAAAAAAATCATTTGAGGTTTTGACTTTCATTCAGTGATAGATTCCTTCAATTCTATGATAGACCATCGAGTTCAATTAAAGCTACCTTATCTTAGTATGCAATAGTTAATAAAAATGCCTTTATTTGTACTTAACACACAATTTTTTTTTGTCAAATGTTGAATTTCTAGTATCACCCCACCAAACGCACAATCTTAGCCCCACCATTGTATCGAATCCTACAGAGGCAAGTTACAAGCATGCAACCACTCATAAGGTAATTGAAGCCAAACCATAAGTGCTTGTTTGGAAAATGAACCATTTTTAAGTAATCTCTAATTAAGAAAAGCAAGATCAACTTGAAAGAAGAAAAGTATAGGAGATTGACTATGGGTCATGATTAATGAACTTATTAATGTAAAAAGTGTTGAAGATTGAGTCAAAATTTCCTGTTAGTAGAGTCCTAATAAAGTGGGACTCAAAGTAAGAAATTTCTATAATTTGTGAAGCCATGATTTTAGCATAAAATAGGAAACAAACTTGACTCTCCTCTATTAATAAAGTCAAGCTTTTTGTTTTTGATTATCATAATTACTGGCCTTCATCCACCCTTCAATTTTGTACTATTTCTTAATTATTTAATATAGAGGTCATTCATTCCTTATATATATATATATATATATTTGTTTTCTTTCAATTTCATGTTTATTCTCTATTTTATTTGACCCTCTATACTTGATCCTTTTTATCAATTTGGTATCCGAGCAAGCTTTCAAGTGGTTTTCTTGTTCATGTTGATCAAGACGGTTGGGAAGTCTAAAACAAAATTTGAGATTCCATGTTTTGATCGAACAAATTTTGCATCATGGAAATTGAAGATGCATGCAATACTTGTAAAAGATGGTTATGCTGCTGCTCTCTTGACAAAAGAAGACAAACTTAAAGGCATGATCGACAAGCAATTTGTTGAGAAGGACAAAATGGCCTTGGTAAATTTGCAATTGCCTTGGAGGATAATGTTTTGTTCAATATAAAGACAGAAACATCCATAAAAAGACTACAAGCAAGCTCAAAAGCATTTATGAAGGCAAGTTTTTTATGAACAAAATCTTCCTGAGGCGTCAATTATATAATTTAAAGATGAGAAATGGAGATTCTATGCAAGAACATCTTAATCAGTTCAATTCACTGGTTAGAAGCTTCAAACCCTTGATGTTAAAATTGATGATGAAAAGAAAGCAAGTACCCTACTTTGTTTTATGCTTGATTCTTGGGATAATTTGATTATGAATTTGAGCCATGTAAAGGTTCTTGATATAAATTCTATTGTAGCATCACTACTAACAGATGAAATGAGCTATAAATCCACTAAAAGAAATTTTGGTAACAAAGAAAAAACAAGATTTGAGTCTAAGAGCTAAAAGAAATTGAAAAAGTGTTAAAATTGCAAAAAGTTAAAGCATGATAAGAAGGATTGCAAACATTGAAAAAGTGAGAATCTTGGGACAAGTAATTCTCATAACAACATAATAGAAGACATTTCAATAGTAGAATATGGAGATGCATTAGTAAAAACATAAAAAAATACAAAAGTCTAAATCAATGGATTCTTGATTTTGGAGCATCTTTTCATATGAATCCACACAACAAATGGTTTCATTCTTGTAAACCATATGAAAGGGGCATTGTTTACAAAGGTGACAACAGGAAAAATCAAGTAGTGGGAGTTAGAGAGATGAGAAGCATGATATTTGATGGATGTATCTGTACCATTTACGATGTTCAACATGTACCTCCCTTGAAAAAAGTTTTCTATCCCTAGGGATATTTAACAAGCTTAGTATGAAATTCATTAAAGAAAATCATCATTTGAAGGTGATGCAAAGCATCATGGTGATAGCCAAAAGAGAATTGAAGGGCAATCTGTACAAATTGATTGGTAAAACCTATGTTGGAAAAGCTACTATTGTTGGGGACAAGCCAGAACTCTCCATGATTTGACATAGGTAGTTGAGGCACACGAGTGATTGTAGACTTCAATTACTTACAAACTGAAAGCTTCTTCTTGGTTTCAAATCTATTTTTACTAGTTTTGTAAAGATTATATCTATGGAAAACAACATAGATTGGTTTTCGCTTTATCTACAAAAAAAAAATCAAAATTTTCTTGATTTAATACACGCTAACACTTGTGAAGTACTTGCTATTTCTATTAGTGGATATTCCTATTTTTGTGACTTTTATTTACGATTTTTCGTGTAAGGTATGGATTTTTATGCTCTAAAAAAATCAAATATTTTTTAAAATTTTAAGATGTTCAAAGCAGTGGTTAAGAATCAAAAGTTTTAAAAATTAAATGTCTCTAAATTGATGATGGAAGAAATTTTGCTCAAAGGAGTTTGATGTTTTTGGCAATAAACATGGTATTAAAAGAAAAGTAAGTTCCAAGAACACCACAGCAAAACGATGTTGTAAAGAGGATGAACCACACTCTCTTGGAACATGCTAGATGTATGATAAACATTGTAAAACAAGGGAAAGAATTCTAAATAAAAACTATAAGTATTACTTTTAACTTAATTACTCATTCTCCTATAGTGTCTCTTAATGCAAAAACTCTAAAAGAAGTTTGGATAGGAAAACTTACAAATTATTCTTTCCTACATGTGTTTGGATGTGATGCTTATGTTTAGGTTCCAAAGAATAAAGAACTAAAATTGATAAGAATTCGAAAAGATGTATTTTTTTTTTGCCATGAGGTCGATAAAGAGGGGTATAACTTATGGGTTCCTACTGCTCACAAGATCATTTTTAGCAGAGATGTTACTTTTAATGAAAATGGTTTTCAAGGCACAATTGAAAAGTAAAAAGCAAGGAAAATTATAATTGAGCAAGTAGCAACTGTTAATGACACTGTTCAAGAGAAAATGTCTCAAAGTGAACCTGAGTTAGAACTGTCCAGTGAAAAGCCTTTTCTTGTAGATCCTCATGAAATGCCAACACATTCTCAAAGGACAATTAAGCTTCCAACTACGTACGATGACTATATCACACCTTTAAAGCCTTAAATTAATTGTGTTAGTGCTTTTGTTGCATTAGTAGAAGAACACGAGCCTACATCCTATAAAGAGGCTTGTGACTCCATTTATTCAGACAAATAAAGATTTGCCCTAAAAGAGGAGATAGGGTCCTTGCATAAGAACGAAACTTGGAACCTTATTTAATTACTTGAAGGTCA